ACTTGCAGGTAGGCCACGAACCTCATGGTAAAATATAAACTAATAGAAATTGGTTAATTTAAGATATAAGAGTAAGCCAGAGCAGTGACTTAAGTAATACAGTTTCTGTGTGGTTATTTCAGTTCTGGACAGCCAGGAACGAACAAGCAGTCTCCTACAACAGATTGCTGCTCCAATGTGTGCTCACCAAATGCACATAAAACCTGAGAGGGCTTGGAAAGGAATCTAGACACTAAAACACAAAGTTTATTTGCATTTTTTTTCCAGAATGGGCTCTGCTTGCTGGTGGCATGCTGCAGCTCCTTTAAGAGAGTTCTTCCTGATTCCGTGGTAACAAAAGAAAAAAAATGCATTTTTGAAATGGCAACTTCCTGGACCATGCTGCCAGCATGAACTCTGGCTCCTTCAGGAGACCGAGCATTTAAACGGAGTTTGTGAGTAGAGTGGTACAACTTGCTGAATGGTAACAGACCAGCTGTGTGCCTAAAAACGAGACTGTGAGCATGGCTCACATGGAACAGATCTCTGCTATGTTGGACTGGGCAGAGCCAAAAGGCAAAGCAGCCTTAGTCTTAGTAATGTTGCTTACCGTTTTAAAAGCTCTTCAGGACAGAAAAGGACAGATATACAATAGGACAGATTCAGACATAAAAGAATACTAAATGAGTCACAGTATGTTTAAAAAAATATATGTATCCGAGTTTGACTGAGGAAAATATATATATATATATGTAGACTTAGGAGAGAGAAGAAAAAGAATGAAGAGAGTAAATATACTATAAAAGAGTACAGATAGTCATAGATTAAAGGAGTAAAAATAAAATAAATATTAAACTTGTAGAAAAAGTAATAGAGCAAGAAAAATAAGCCACATAAAAATGGAATATACACAGAGAGGCTGTATTATTTATATTGTTATGTTTTCTTTAAATTTTTTAACTGTTAAAGAGCTACATAATGAGAGACATTTTATTGTATGAACTGCTAAATTAAACCAACATAAAGTTATCTTGACTTCAGAATTTGGAAAAGAGAAAACAAAACCTGTGGATTAATTCTAGACTAATGTGGTTTAATGAACGAAGACCCCCCCCCGAAAGGTTGCTGTAAACTTCCCCCAAAATTACTTCACCCAACAAAAAGCAGGAAGCAGTTTGGAGAGAACTATGCCCAAATTCACAAATATTGTTTATAAATGTCTGTTTACATTTAAAGGGGAATATGCTGTAGAGATCAATACTTTGCATTAACATGGATGTTGGTCTATTGATGCAAATTTTAGATTAATCTTGTTATATGTATGTTTCTGCTCTTGATTAAGATATTGTGATTGTGCAGTTCATTTGGAAAAGTAATATATAATTGAGAAATGCAGGTTAATAGATAGTCATCTATAATGGTCAGGCTTGTAGTCATGTTAGTTGGGTTTTCTAGATATGGAGATATATTTTAGTTAGATAGATAATCTTCAAACCTTTCAGAGACCTACGGAATATGGCACTTAAAATGTTTTAAGAACTTAGGACTTTTCATGACAATGAGGCTCATCTGCTCCTGGCAGCACCAATCTACTTCAAGAGGAAGATGGGCACCAAAGAGGCTCCTTATGGTGTTGGCTAGCCATTTGGGCAAGAAACTGCTCTTGCCGGGACTGCTTGATGTTATGCTGTATGAAGTGGACATGCAGGACCCACAGAGAAATGACTACTGAACTTCCTTAAAGGTGAGACAGTCCTTCGGGGTTCCTGCTTCATGAAACAACCATCTCCAACAGTCGTGCCACAGGCAGCTCATTGTACTTTTTAAAATCTTAGTAACAATTCAAAAGGAAGTATAAGCCTTATGAGCAGAAAAGTACAAAGTACAGCGGGGAAAGACAAAAGACCCTAAATCATTAACAGCCCTGAGTTGATGATTGAAAGGCTTGACACTGTCAAAACAGCACTAGACCCCAATGAGTTTATACCAATCTCCCTCTTTCTTTCATCTTTTCTTTCTTTCATCTTTTCTTTCTTTCTTTTTTCTTTTCTTTCTTTCTTTCTTTCTTTCTTCCTTTCTTTTTTTTTTTTTTTTTTTTTGAGGCAGGGTTTCTCTGTAGCTTTGGAGCCTATCCTGGAACTTGCTCTTGTAGAGTAGGCTGGCCTTGAACTCACAAAGATCTGCCTGCTTCTGCCTCCTGAGTGCTGGGATTAAAGGGGTGCACCACCACTACCCGGCTGGTCTTTTCTTTCAAGACAAGATCTCATGTACCCCAAGCTGGCATCCAAGTCGCTCTAGACCCAAGGATGACGTTGAACTTCTGACCCTCCCACTTAGACCTGGAGAATGCTGGGATTACAGTCACGCAGCACCACACGTGGTGTATGTGATGGAAACCCGGAGCTTCATGAGTACCAGGCAAGTGCTCTACCAATTGAACTACATCCCTGATGTGGGTAGTCACCAGAGATGTTGATATTTGGACATGCGTTTAAGTCAGTAGAAAGTTTTTATTAGTCAGCCGGCCGCTACACTGGGTGTTCGGGATCCCAGTACATCCCTGCGTTTTTAAGCACAAAAACCATGTTTTGGGTTGACATACTTCAGTTAACAAGAACAGAGAACTACAGAAGCTAAAAACAAGGTTTTGAGAGGTGGTGTTGTCTACATGCTGAGTGTTACAGGCTGAATGGCACTTCCATCATGGAGTCAATTGTGTTAAGGTCTGGGGCCCTGTTATAATCCTGAGCCCCAATCCATCAATCCATGTAACATCTGTCAAAAATCCATCTGACAGGCTGGGGAGATGGCTCAGTGGTTAAAGCACTTGCTGAGCAATTGTGAGGATCAGAGTTCAGATCCCCAGAAATCCACTTGTGATTCCAACCTCAGAAGCAAGCTGGCTAGCAAGACCAGACATACTGGCAAGTTTTGGATTTTGTTGAGGAATTCTGTTCTCAAAGAACAAGATGGAAGAGAGGATGATTTCTGACATTAATATCAAGCTTCCACATACACATGTATCCATATACATGAAAGAATGCACACACACTTGAAAAAATGGAAAAGGAAGAATTTCAACTGAGAGTTTTTCCCCAGAAAGGGAGAAATGGTCCTAAAACCCATATGGAAATGAGAATGAACCCAAATAACCAATCTTGAAAAAGAAGGAAATCGGAAATCTCCCTCCCTCTTTCCAGTCACAAGGCCACAGCAATCAAATTGATGGCACTGGTGTGGACACAGACATTTATGCTGAATTTGTGCCCTCCCCCAGCCTGCCTTAAGTGACCCCTCACAAGTAACTACATCACCCCAAATCCCCAGCCCTTTTACAGGTCCCGGCCATCACAGATCGCTCTTTTGTTTTCTCTGTCTGTCTTTCTCTGTCTCTCTGTCCTGTTTCTCTCACGTGTTCCTGCTCTGAGATGGTCTTTCACACATCCCCACTAAATCTCTCGGTGAGATCTGTTGCATGCTGTGATCTCTGAGTACCCACCCACAAGGTACTCCTGCCAATTAATCCTAGCAATACAGGTCAGGGGAATCAAGTTTGGAGTACAGTGAGCCTGGTACTTCACACCTGGAATCCTAGCCCTCCAGGGCCCGAAACAGGAGGGTCAAGAGCTCAAAATTAATTTTGGCTACATAATGAGTTCAAGGCCTTGAACTATATGAGATCCTGTCTCAAAACAAAACAGAAATATGGAGTGAAATAATAAACCCATATATCTCTGGTTAATTTGTTTTCATGAAGACTGCCAGTTATTCCATGGGAAGAGTAACTTTCCTTTTCATTTTTTAGCTTTTATTGATTCTTTGTGAATTTCGCATCATGCACCCCAATTCCATTCATCTTCCCATTGCTCCACATTCAAACCTTTGCAGTCTCCACCCCAAAGAAAACAAACAAATAAAATCTCCCCATGAACTTTTTTAAAAAAGATTTATTTTATATGTATGAGTGTTTTGCTTTGCATGTATGTCTGTATCATATTTATCCAGGAACTAAAGTTGTAGATGATTTTGAACTGCTCTAGGGAGGCTAGGAATTGAACTCAGGTCCTTTGTAAGAACAATGCTCCTAACCACTGAGTCATGTCTCTAGCCCAAGAGTAGTCTTTTCAATAAATAGGGCTAGAACAACTGAACATTCATGTGTAAAAGAAGCAATCACAGCCGGACATGGTGCACACAGGAAGCAGAGGCAGGCAGCAGATGTCTGAGTTTGAGGCCAGTTTGGTCTGCAGAGTGAGTTCCAGGACAGTCAGGGTTACACAGTGAAACCCTGTCTCAAACAAAACAAAAGTATGGATTCTATTGACTGACAATGCTCAGGATAAAGGTCTATGTTGTTTTTAACTAATTTTCAATCGTTTGATTTTACCAATAAAGACACGGGAGTCAGATGCTGGGGTGAAAGCCTGCTAGCTCAGGGAGGCCGAGAAAGCACCCCGCTGATCTTCCTCCTCAGCCAATGACCCAGTAACCTCTCCTTTCTCCTCAGCCATCTCAAAAACTCTACTCAAACTGAATGTCCCTCCCTTCTACTTCCTGTGCATCTCTATCCATCCTCCTGACTCCCTCTTACCCTCTATATTTTTTTTCTTAAGAATCCTATGTTCACTTCCTGTCAACTGGTTGCTTGCTCTGCCTCTTGACCTATGGTTGGCTTTATTTAATCGTGTTTACAGTACCAAAGCAGAAAGCTCTTGGATTAAGGTACATGCTAGGGCCAAGCCATACCACAACTAGATACAGGTTTTTCCATAAATAATGCAATCTCGGGGTTCGGGGTTCAAGATGTGATCAAATATCCTGCAACAGGTCTAGGGAGGAGGGATCTAGAATAAGCCTAATAACAGGATCCTTTGTAAAGTACGGGGGGGGGGGGCTCTTCCATAAGAATGGGTTCTAGTGTTGGAAATGGAATCTGGGGGTTCAGGTGAGGCCTGGCTCTATATACAACAAAAGATCACCAGGTTATTAATAATATCCTTTCCCGGCCTTCTGAAAAACAGGTACACACGTCCCTTTCATCGAAGAGGCATGACTGCATGCTTCACGTTCCTGCCTTCTCCAGTGCTCATCTGTGTGAGCGTGACGACCTCGTGCCCTCCCCAGGGATCCTAGACACAAGAGTACATTATGGTCCGGCTGCTGTAGGAAAGTGTATGGTGGTCCTCAGAAACCTAAGAAATAGAACTACCACTTGCCCAGTGCAGGGTATGTAGCAAAGCAGCTCTCAGCAGAGTCTCAGAGATGTTTGTGTGACTGTCCTCGCAACAGTACTGCTCACAGCAGTGAGAACTCGGTGTCCATCAATGAACAAGCGGGCAAGCAACACAGACAAGGAGACCTCCTTCAGCCTTACCGGGGAAGAAAGCTCTGCACGCCATAGGTCGCATAGACCTTGGCCAATTTGATAGCATCCTGGCGGGTAAGTGCTAAAGAGACCGCCACGGTTCCACGTGCAAGTTTTTTTTTTTTTTGTTAACATTGTTGTTTGTTTATTAATACAGAGATAGAATTTTATTCTGTAGCTTCGGCTGGCCTCCAAGCTAAAAATAAGATAACATATCGAAGTCATTATTTCATGCAATTAACATATTCTAATTTAAACTATTGGGGAAAAAACCCGAAGGCTGGCTGGCTCTTATTAGCTCTGAAAGTATGACTGATAGCTAGCTCGCTGCCAGTCTGGGCACCCAGGAGAAGAATTTGACTGGCCCAGATCTAACTGAGGGGGACTCGCCTTGAGGAGCAGAGCTGGCATGCTGGTCTGATCTCAATGGCACAAGTAAAGAAAACAGCCACCTAGAGACTTCAGCTAGGACAGGAACACCCATCAGGCTACCTCCCTCCACCTGTGCCCAGTGAGAAATGGCCGTCTCCCCCGGGGGCCTATCGGTCTCTAGCCCAGCTGCAGGTCCCCCCACCTCCTTTCTACACCCTGACCTCAGTCTTGAGTCTCCAGGGAAGTCTAAAGTTCAGGTCTGTGTGCGTGGGGTTTAAGTTCAAAGCTCCCTGCGGTCATAGACGAATGACCTGAGGCGTGTTCTAGTGTAAGTTGCTTGAGTCAGCTCGTGCCTGTTAGGTGTGGCCGAGGCCGTTACTTCCAGGATGGGTATCCTTACCCCCTTTTCCTGCCCTTCCCTCCACCTCAGGAGGTAACTGGCCCGTGACACGCCTACTCCTGGCGGTCTATCGCCCTATCCTGAGAACTGTGCTTTCTGCGGAGGGTACGGCAGGACTCATGAGACATGGTGAAGCGTGCGGGGGAGGCGGCGGAAAGGCTCCTGCCATACCTCCTAAGGACCCCACTTCCTGGCCACACTATGGAAAATCTCCCGCTGAGCCTCCACGGTGAGGCCCCCTCTATCCCAGGTGCCTCCGTTCAAGCCATGACACTCTAACCCGGTTTCTTGACCTCCCTTGCCCTGCGCTTTGATGTCTATGAACTGGGAATAGAGATCGCCCTTACTTTGTAAGAGGGTGATAAGGTTTTAGATAAGGAACATTCTCCATTTCTCACAGTGCCTGGCATCCCTGAAGTACCTGTTGCCGTTACCCTGGTTTCCTTATTCTGTCAATGGTACCAGCCAGTTCCAAGGAGCACACAGTGTGTGCCAAGCTTCATGCCAGGGATCTCGGGTCACAGTACCCCATGCTCAGCCTCAAAGGAGTTTAAGTCTATATGGAAGGAGAAACCAATAAAATTGTTCTTTTGAGAAGAAAATTGTTTACTTTGTGTGTGTGTGTGTGTGTGTGTGTGTGTGTGTGTGTGTGTGTGTGTGTGAATGCTCTATCCGCATGTGGCTCCGAATGACGGAAGAGGGCATCAGATCCCATTACAGGTGGTCGTGAGCCGCCATGCGGTTGCTGGGAATTAAACTCAGGACCTCTGGGGGAGCAGCCAGTGCTCTTCGCTCCTGTACTGCTTCTCCAGCCCAATAAAGAAGTTCTTAAGCATGTAAGAACTTGCGGAGTGTGGGTGTGCAAGCCTCTATAGGCAAGGTCAGCATGGAGCATCTTCCTCAATCACGCTCCATGTTTTTGGTTTGTTTGTTTGTTTGTTTTTGAGACAGGGTTTTCCTGTGGCAGTTCTGGCTGTCTTGGAACTCGAGCTGTAGACCAGGATGGTCTCGAACTCAGAGATTCACTTGCCTCTGCCTCCCAAACGCTAGGATTACAGGTGTGCACCACCATGGCCTAGCCCCATCTTACTTTTTAAAGTGAGGTCGCTCACTGAACCTGTAATTACCAGTTCAGCTAGATTGAATGGCCAGCAAGCCCCAGGAGTCCTCTCACCGCCACCTCCCCAGATGTAGGATTACAAGCACATGCACCACATTCATCATTTTTATGTGGGTTTGGGGATCAAATCCAGATCCTTTCTTTGGAGGGTAAGTGCTTACAGACCCAGCCATCTCCTCAACCTTAATTTGGCATTTTAAAAGAAGCCCTGTCAATGTGCTCAGCTCTGACTGTGCGCTCTGACACTCAGATGCGATGCAGTCTCAGCTTGCCCTGCTCTTCAGGTCCAAGTGTGGCCAAGTCCGTCCTCACCCCAACCAGGACTGACCTTTAAGATGCAAACACTGAGCCTGGCGGTGGTGGTGCACGCCTTTAATCCCAGTACTCAGGAGGCAGAGGCAGGTTTCTGTGAGTGCATGGTCTACAAATGAATTCCAGGTTGGTCAGCTCTATATAACAAGACCATGTGTAAAATGCAGCAGCAGCAGCAGCAGCAGCAGCAGCAGCAACAGCAGCAGCAGCAAAGCTTGCAGGCCTCCTCTGCCTTTCCAAGCAGCCATCATCACCCACCTGCCAAGCCACAAACCCAGACACAGCGAGACCTCCGTCCTGAGTCTGTCATCTCCAAGGGGCCAGAACCTATGCTTCCTCCTGGATCACCGGGAGTTACTGACCAAGCAAGGGCTTTGTCCCCCTCTTCTGGGGATGGGGGGGGGAGCATTCTGTCTTGGATCCAGCGAGCCTTAGAAGACTCCTTAAGGGAGTATGAAGTGGGTTGGGTAGCCCAGGGACAAGGAGTGATCAAAGGCAGATCTGAGAGAGGTGGGAGGGGCCAAGTCTAACCTATAGGGAGGAGTAAGGAGTCAGGGAACTTGGTCAGCAGCACGGGAGGATCAAATTCCTCTGGAGTGAACTCGGAGATAAAAGGCTGACACACTGGAGGCTTGCTGAGGTAGAGCCTGCAAGGGAGACTTCCACTTTCTTCTTCACACTCATCCAGCAGAACAAGGCCGAAAGCACCACAGTGCCGGGACAGAAACCGCAGGGCTCTTCGGTGTCCCAGTCTGCTGACCCTTTCTACCTCTCCTCACCGCAGAGCCTGCCTGAGAGAACAGAAGAATGGAGCTGGGCAGGACTCAGATAAGACTTGACCCCAGGTAAGTGAGGGCGGCAGGTCTTGGGCTGGGAGCCAGTTGCTAAGGAAGAGTGGCAGCCCCTATCACCCTGGCCTATCTTTCCCTGGCTCCTTCACAGGGCCCTTTGACTTCCAGCACTTAGAACAAGATAAGATTGAAAACTGTCTGGGAATCCCCTCAGGCCTCGGGAAAACTGGGATTGGATCAGTGTGTGGCCACTTCAGGGCTGTGAATTGCCTCCCTATAGGAGCTGAGAAAGATTACAGAGGTGGAGGCTGCAGAAGGCACCCCCCAGACACACAGAGCCCCTCATCAAAAGGCAGGCCGGCCCATTCCTGGTGCTATGGGATCACTCCCCTTCTTTCCTTCCTTCTTTCCTTACTTTCTTTTTTTCTGATAGAGCCCTATCATGTAATTGAAGCTGGCCTTAAACTAAGATCCCCCTGCCTCAGCCTCCCTCCCCAGTGCTGAGATTACAAGCCTGCATTACCATGCCTGGCTATGGGTTCACTTTCTCTTGGACCCAGCTCATCCTCCCTGGCCAGCTGAACTACCGCCCCGATGGAGCTGCCCATGGCTAACAGGCAGCTTGTTTTATACTCTAACCTAAACCGGTTCTCCGTAGCCTCGAGGAAAAATGGACTAGCTCCTAGCACTCAGGAGGGTTTGAGGGGTATCAAACGGCATAGTCTGCCACACCCCTTCCCCAGCTGCCTGGTTCTGAGCAAACTGGTGTCTCTCCAGGTACACGGCAGATCTTTTGGAGCTGCTGAAAACCAACTATAGCATCTCCTCTGCCTGCTTCTCCTACCCTCCCACCGCAGCTCAGCTGCTGAGAGGTGAGTCGGGGTGCCCCCTGGAGGAGGTGAAAGCAGGACATGTGTACCCCAGAGGGAAGTCAGGATAACTGGGGGAGCAAAGGGGAGCTGGTCCACATCTGGCCAATGTGAGAGGATGGCTGGCCCGATGTTCATAATGGCTAAGGCCTTGGAGAAGGTCAGTTCTCCCAAGGACCCAGAGGTCCACAATGAGACATGAAATCTAGTTCAGGAGACAATCGAAGCTGGGCCTCCACCCACCCCAGTCTCAAGACGTGTTCAAACTAGGGACACTAGGATCTGGGACATTATTTGTGTTTCCGGCTTTCAAAATGGTACCTGTATAATCCAACCCCACATCTCTCCTGGAGTGTGTGCATACTCCCTGAGAGCTCACAGCTCTGCAGAGGGGTGGGCTCAGCTGGCCTGAGCCTGCAAACTTGTCCTCCCGGTGTCCAGCTGCTTTTGAAAGTGGCAGACACCGGAGGCAGCTGAGATCATGCTTTCTGCCTCCAAACCACCGAGAACAAAGTGGCGCGTGTGCTTCTAGGAAGGAAATGGCCAGGCTGGTTTCATCTCGTCGTCTGCTCCATGAGTATCCATTTCTGAAATGTGGAGCTCTCGGTGGTTCCTTCCAACATAGACGCCTGCTAAGCAAGGGGACACTGCCAGGTGCTGAGGGAAGCGGAGGTGGCCAGGTCCTTGGGTTAAGGATAGCCTTGCTTCAGATGCTCTGAGCCAGCGTGTTGTCAGCTGCAGGTGTCCAGACGCCTGGTGGCACTCTGTGGTTAGCGCCAGCAGGTGGCTGGCTGCACCCAGCTCTAAGAGCCTCATAATTAGGGAGTGGAGCTGGAGGGACAAACATCATCTTAAACCGGAAGTCCTCAGCCCAGAAAGGTATTTGGCGTGTCTGTAGACAGTTTGAGTGGCCACACTGGAGGTTGCCTGCCCTCAGCAGCTAGCTGGTAGATATTAAGGAGGTCACTAGACCACCTGCAGGGTACAGTACAGTACTTCATGGTAGAAGCCTCTATAGTACGGCCCACTGTGGTACAATCTCCCACAATATAGTCCTGTACGATCGGGCCCTCCACAGCACAGCCCTCCACAGTAATGCTCCCCACAGAGTCGAGGTGTCAGCAGTTCCTGGCCTCTGGAACCTTGCATCACACAACACACTAATTTTCATACCTCCTTGCTACCAGATCGCATGCGCAGGGAGAACCCACAAGGATTTGGAAACAGGTTGACTCTCTGGGTCTCATAATCAAGTAGGCTGCCTGCTGAGGCAGGAGCAGGAAGGATTTGGGGAGTGCAGAGTGGATATGGTGATAGAGGGAGCGGTGGGTTCCCCACACTGGGAAGGTTCCTCTGGCAAGGTTGATGGGTACTCGTGGAGAAGCTTGGGGCAATTGAAAGGGCTGGGCAGGTGAGGTGGGGCAGAATAAGGTCAAGCCTGAGTTTGTACTTTATCCTCAAGATGGACTCAGCACTGAGGGCTGTAAGATTGGGAGGGGCTGGATGGAGCGTTTCAGGACCTTTAATCAGGGGTCAGAATGACTTGGGGGGAAAGAGCCTTGAGCAGGGTTAAAGCCAAGAGGTTGTTGACCCCGTCAAGTCGGTTACAGAGGTTGAACCGGGGCAGCAGGAAGGAAAGAAGTGGAACACGCAGCCGACACAAAGCAGGAGCCCTGGTAAATATTTAGACAGGAGAGTGATTCTGAGGTGGCAATGACCCACAGGAGACTCGGAGGGAAGGAGGATGCGGTGAAACTGCTTCCAGCTTCTTTGCTTCTTAAGTGATTAGAAAGGGCTATTCTGGAACCATTAAAGCTTTTCATGACCAGGGTATTTTTTAGTTTGTGATATGATTCCAGTTATAATCTTTAATTTTGTTTTAAATTAAACTGACCTAACATTTATCTAGAGAGTCAGGATGGTTTGGGGAAGGTGTAAAATGGGAGGCTTCTCAGCCAGCCATGAAGGCTTGTGTTAAGCTTGTGGCAATTGAAGCAATGAGGTCGCAATGGCAAAGGGCCTGGAGGAGAAAAACAACAAAGTGTCGTGTCCAGAGGCAGTGCCAGGCCACTATGGGGGTGCACACAAAAGCATGCGATGGGACATGGGGGTCCACACAAAAGGACGCTGTGGAACATGGGGTGCACACCAAAGGACGCTGTGGGACATAGGGGTGCACACAAAAGGACGCTGTGGGACACGGGGTGCACACAAAAGGACGCTGTGGGACATGGGGTGCACACAAAAGGACGCTGTGAGACATGGGGTGCACACAAAAGGACGCTGTGGGACATGGGGTGCACACAAAAGGATGCTGTGGGACACGGGGTGCACACAAAAGGATGCTGTGGGATAGGCTCCTAGGTAGATGTGCAGAACAGCTGTCTATTCCCAAGGAAATAAATGCACAGAAAATTTAATCCAGAAAGACTAAGGACATAAATGTAAAATTAAAACTTTTTAATTAAAAAAGTAGAAATTGTCTTTATGGTTAGAAACAGCAAATAATTTCTTAAAATTAAGAAAGGGTCAGTGATATGGCTCAGGGGGTGAAAACGCTGTGCGAGTCTGAGACCTGAGTCTGATACCCAGGACCATGTTAACAACAACAAACAAACAAACAGCAGTCACACCCAACATAATCTATAATACCTACAAATAACATACAGTACCCGCCAAGCCCGAGCTCCTCTCTCCTCCAGCCCAGCAGTTCTATTTCCAGGCATATGCTAGAGAAACTTGCTTCTCTGCACCGAGGAGACACACCCAAGGATGCTAACTGCAACATCAGCTTCTCATGATGAGAGCAGTAAAAGTTACAGAAATAAGGTTGGGCAAAAAACATTTAGAGTTTGTAAGATTCCATTTTCATAACCTATTTATTGTATGTATTTGTTTATTGTAATTATTTATTATTAGTTTCTTGAGACGGGGTCTTGTTGTGTAGTTCTGGCTATTCTAGAACTCTCTATGTAGACTAGGCTGGTCTCAGATATCCTCCTGCCTCTGCCTCTTGAGTACTGGAATTAAAGGTGTATGCCAGCACTGCCCGGCTCACCCTGCTTTCTTACAGAAGCCAGGACCTCCAGTCTAGGGGTGGCACCACTACAATGGGCTGGGTCCTCCCCCATCCATCACTCATTAAGAAAACGCCCTAAAGGGTTGACCACAGTCCGATCTTAAGGAGGCTTTTTCTCAACTGAGGTTCCCTCCTCTCTCATGACTCTACCTTGTGTCAAATTGAATAGCAAGCATACTTAAAGAACAGTTACTGTTACTTGGCAACAGAAATAGAGAACAGCCTGACAGGGTCCCTGCCTCAGCGGTGGGGGTAACATGAAAGTTGTCACGCAGGCTGCCAGGACATGTGGCTAAAGTCTAGGACATGCCCAGGACACGCAGAGGTCAGGGAGAAAAGCAGAGGCCAAAAAGAAAGCCCTGGGGGCGGGGGCAGAAACAGCTCATCATGAGGGCTGGAAGAATGAACTCTTTAGTCTGGAACACAGGGGAGAGCTGGGGTGAACGCGTTTTTAATTAGTGTGGAGTAATTGTGCACATTGATGGGGTACAGGGCAGTATTTCAACACATGCATACAAAGAACTCTGATCAAACCAGGCTGGCTAACTTCTCCAGCTCCTTGTCTTTCTATTTGGAACCTTCAAGCTCCTGTTTCTAGTCTTTCATAAAATGTGAACTAGTTTTTGTGACTTATCGTTACCCTGGAAACAACAGACTGTGGAGCCCTAGCTGCTCTCCCGCCACCCAGTCTTCCTCTACAGACCCCTCCACCTTTCTGCTGTGAAATATGTGTTGTCCTACCTCATTCAGAAGAACTCCCTTGAGTCTGGAGAATGCAGGGTATGAAGATCCCAGTTCAGAGGCCAGGGGGAGAGCCAGGAATGGGCTCCTGGGAGATTTCCAAGAAGGGAGCAGACAGGGTTTGAGCTTTGGTGTGCTTGTGTGAGCACATCACCATTGCACACTGATTGCCAGTGTTAAGACTATGCATGGCCATCACACCTTTAAAATGGAAAATTTAAAAATGTTGGGGGCTAAGGAGGATAGCTCAATGGGGATAGCTTAATGCCACACAAGCATTAAGGACCTCAGTTCAGATCCCCAGTGCCCACATAAAAAGCATGGGGAGGTACACATGTACACCCAGCACTAGGGAGGCAGAGATGGATGGATCCCTAGAGTTCGTTGGCTAGCAAGTCCAGTTAAATTGGTGTGCTCCAGGTTCAATGAGAGACCCTGCTTTAACAACGTAAAGGTTGGATGAGATGGCTTGGGAAGATGTTTTTAATTATGAGGAGAAGTTAAAGACCCTTTGTAGGGTCAGACATGATGGTACACACCTTTAATACCAAACACTTGAGAGGGAAGGGCAGGAGAATTTCTGTGAGCTCAAGTCTAGAACCTGTCTTAAAACACACACACACACACACACACACACACCACACACACACACACACACTTGGGCTCTATTCAGTAGGCATTACTGGAGCAGCATCTGACCTTCAATTCATTGGCATCTACTCCCCTTCTCCTCTAGAATTGGGCCCATTGGAAATTACCCTCACCATCATCTTGACCTTTCTTACCATGGGCTCAATCGCCATCTTCATTGAGGATGCTGTTTATCTGTACAAGAACACCCTTTGCCCCATCAAGAGGAGGACTCTGATCTGGAGTAGCTCTGCGCCAACGGTGAGGATGCTGGCACTGGTCCTTCAGATGCTGGCGCTGGCCCCAGGAGATGGGGCAGGCTGGCCTGAGAGTTCTCCTAAACTCATTTGCTCCAGAACCGAGCTGCCTGCTAGCGCCATGTTGCACTGGCGATGTGAACTGATTTCTGCCTGTCCGCCGGTGGGATGACGTCTTCTATTGCAGAGGGCTGCAGAGACAGCAACCCACTAGGCACCAGGCTGTGCCGCTCTTTCTCCCTTCACTACGGCACTGCTGTTAAGAGCAAGCCACCTTCCAATATGCAGGCATTTGTTTCCCGAGGGTCATACGCAGTGTTGCTCTGCTGCTGTGGGCTTGTTTTTTCCCCTCATGTGTACTGAACACACTACCACTGAGCCACAGGTCCAGCGACTCTTAAGTCTTTTTTAAACTTACCTATGCAGCCATTGCATAGGACCTGGATTTAATTTATTCAGTTATTTCCCAGTTGCAGTTCTGCTTATTTTAAAATGGATTAATAATAATGATAATAATACGCACGCACATGCAATGATGGGGGAGCATGCATGCCATAGCTCATATGTGGCGGTCAGAAGACAAATTTGTGCAGTCAGTTCTCTTGTCCTGCTCTTACACGGGTTCTGGCGATTGAATTCAAGTTGCCAGGTTTTCATCGGAAACAAGCACCTTTACAGGCTGAGCCATCTCGCCAGTCCTTGTTTCTATTTTGGTTGGTTCCGGGTACAGAGCCCAGGGCCTGATGCAGGCTCTACCCTGACCCAGTCACAGCAGCCAGCAAGTGGAAGGACTAGCGCCTCAGACGCACAGATCTGGCGTTTTTGAACCCTAGCTACAAAAACTTGGGATGTCTGGCTCGTCCCACCCTAACCTGCATCATGTTCTCCTGCGAGCAGGTGGTATCTGTGATCTGCTGCTTCGGTCTCTGGATCCCTCGCGCCCTCACACTCGTGGAAATGGTCATAACCTCGTGAGTGTCTGACCCCACACCCACCCCTGGGGATGAGCTCCCCTCTGCGATCCTTTTCTGACCCCCAAGCCTCCAAAGTCTGTTAAGCCCCATTGATATTAATCTAGCTCTTGCCAACCTGTGCTAAGGAAAGATTCGGCTTGTGCTCAGGGAATGCCTTTTGAGGGCACACTCCGGGACACCTGTTTGTTCCCAGTCTCCTTCCCAGTCCTCTGGACCCAGTCACCTCTCTTGTTCCTCAAGTCACGCCTCTAAAATGCCAGCCCCCGCCGGGCAGTGGTGGCACACACCATTAATCCCAACATGTGGGAGGCAGAGGCAGGTGAATCTCTGAGTTCGAGGCCAGCCTGGTCTACAGATGGAGTTCCAGGACAGCCAGGGCTACACCGAGAAACCCTGTCTTGAAAAGCCAACTAAAATGCCAGGCCCTTTGCCTCCTCCCTCAGCGAGCCCCATCCCTCCTAGCAATCGTTACTCTTCAGCAGCAAAGGGCACGCTGTGGCGCCCCCACCCACGTACTTGCAATCCTACTTCTCTCGACCAGGTTCTATGCCATAGTCTTCTACCTGCTGATGCTGGTCATGGTGGAAGGCTTCGGTGGGAAGGAAGCAGTTCTAAGGACACTGAAGGACATCCCCATGAGGGTGCACACGGGTCCCTGCTGCTGCTGCTGCCCCTGCTGCCCGCCCCTCATGCTTACCAGGTGAGGCAGGGGAGACGAATCTCCCAGGGCCAAGTGAACACGTGACTCTGTAATCCTAGTTCAAGGCTCTTGAAGTTAGGGGGCTGTACCCGACAAAGCCAATGATCAAAGCAGGCATCCCACAGCCAGGAACCCCCACATGGGCTCGCAGCACCCCAGAGAGAGGGAAACGGAGGAATAATTCATATTTTTAAAATGTGCATTAGTGTTTTGCTTTGGGTTTCGGGACTCCTGGAACTGGATGGCAGTTGTGAGCTGCCATGTGGGTGCTGGTAGTTGAACCTGGGTCCTCTAGAAGAGCAATCAGTGCCTTTAACCACTCTGAGCCGTCTCTTCAGCCCCAGAGGAAGAATTCGAATGCTTCAGCTCACTGCCTTCCTTACTCAGTTACTTTTTTTTTGAGACAGGGTTCCTCTGTGTAGCTCTGGCTGTCCTGGACCTCTGTAGACCAGACTGGCCTTGAACTCACAGAGATCCTCCCGAGTGCTGGAGTTCATGCCCAGCTTACACTGCATACTTAGTTTGAGTGCTCACTTGTCCCCTCTGCCTACTGAGTAATGAACCTGGAGTCAATACTTGGAGGTCCTGCTCAAAAGGTTTCCTCAGAGGCTCAGACTACCCTCTACCGTGCCTTCACCCATGAGACAATTTTGTGTCTCCATGGCAGCCCAGCCTTAGTCCAGGAGCTCAGTGGAGGGGCTAGGCTTCCTCAGGGTGGGTGGTGTATGGGTCCGTGTTCTTAACTCTCTCCCTCCTTCAGGAAGAAGCTTCAGCTGCTGATGTTGGGCCCTTTCCAGTATGCCTTCTTCAAGATACTGCTGAACATAGTGGGCCTGTTTCTCATGCCTGATGGCATCTTCGATCCATCAGATGTAAGCCAAGAGACGGCAGTAGAATCTTAAGACTCGTTATCTTTGGGTTCTAGAACTAATATCCGAGCACCAGCAACACACAGGGCGGGGCGGCCACAGGAAGAGAGGCAGCCCAGAGAATCCGGTGGGGAGAAGGTCCAGGCTCTGGGGCTTTGTCTTTCTGACTGTCTTCCGATCTGCCACCAGATCTCTGAGAAGAGCACAGCTCTGTGGATCAACACTTTCCTCGGCGTGTCCACGTTGTTTGCTCTCTGGTCGCTGGCCATCATTTTCCGACAAGCAAAGTTGCACCTGAGTGAACAGAATATGGGATCCAAGTTTGCTGTCTTCCAGGTAACTAAACCCCGGAAACGGTGTTAGACAAAACATGACAAGTTAGGGTAACAGAGGCAGGAGTGGACCCACTAGTCCTAACCCTTGGGTCTCCTGGGAGATCTGGAGCATCGTCTCCATCCTCTTCTTGCATCTTATTTTATTTGCCTTTCTGAACCACAGAATACCACCAGCCAGGATTCAAACAACAGAAACGTATTGTAGCACAGATCCAGAGCCTGGAAACCCCAACCAAAATGTAGGTAGGGCCGCCATCTCTCTGGAACCTGGAAGGACCCGGCTTGCTACTTCCTCTCTAGAATTGGCCAGCAATCCATGGTGGTCCTTGCCCGGCCTTCTGCTGTCACTCCAGCCTCTGCTTCCATCATCACACGACCTTGTCCACCTGTCTGTCTGCATTTTATGTGCTGGATGCCACTGGGAGGCATGAGAGAGAGAAAGGCTGAATTTGTTTATGAGCGGCCCTAATAAATGAGGTGGAAGTAGGATTATAATTTGCCTGAAGATGAAATCTGAAATTTTATTAGAAAATTTTCAATAGTTCTAAACTTTAGCCTCCGTAACTGCAGAGGCTAGGCATGCCTAAGCTGCACTGGCCTCAAGACCAGGGCTGGCAGGTGCCACCCATCCCCCACACCTGTCTCTCCTCTCCCACAGGTTCTTGTCATCCTGACCGCCCTGCAGCCCTCCATTTTCTCCATCTTGGCTAGCACCGGGCAGATTGCTTGCTCGCCTCCCTTTTCTTCTAAAACCAGGTCTCAAGGTAAGTGCGTAGGACTCTTTCCTGTGTTGCAGGTGAGCCTGGGGACAGATGAGAGGAGAGAGGCCCTTGGAGCAGAAGTTGGGCAAACTCAGAATGGACAGGAAGAATCCAAGAAACCAGGCAGAGGCTCTGAGGCCCCTTCCCTTTCTCATCAGAGAGAACTGCAATGTCCCCAGCTTGAGGCCAGTCCTAATGGCCAAACCAGGAGACCAGGGGTTCAGGCCTCACCTTGGGACAGGAATGGGGTACAGTTAGGAAGCAGACTCAGATCACAGCTGTCAAAGCCGAGTTCTGGATACCACTAATCTGCCTTGCTCCGCACAGCAGTTTGTATCCCTAGGTCCTGGTTCAGAGGTAAGCTGAAGTCTCTCAGCTTGCTCGCCAGGAGCGCAGTGTAACCTCTGTCATGTTCTGCTCCACACTGCAGTGATGAACTGCCACATGCTTGTCGTGGAGACCTTCCTGATGACGGTGCTGGCACGGATGTACTACCGAAGGAAAGATGGCAAGGTTGGGTATGAGGCTTCTTCGGCATCAGACCCAGACTTGAAACTCAAAGCCTGAGGCAAGTGGCTGGGACTATGGAAAAGATACTGTCCTTCTCAGGAGAGCACGAGAGTCCTTCTGTCCCTCAACCTGAACCAGTGGTTCAGGCTCCCACTGGCAGCGCAGGCTGGCAGATTCCATGTGACTATAGGGATGAGGGGAAGGTGCTGAACTGGAGCTTTGCTCAGGGGAGGCATTTAAAGTTTTGAAACGAACAGGGTGGGGCCGAGACTCTGCAGAGGGCACACTGCTTCTGTGGCTGCCACAATGGGTCACCCTGAGCTTTTGCACAGCAGAATAAAGGGGAGAAGAGTACGTGGTTTATGTATGGTTTATTGGTGGGAGTAGACCTTAGCTGGGCACAGCAGCACCAGCCTAGCTTCCCGAAGAAGCCGGCTCGGCAGTACAAGCCGTGCTTCCTTGGGGGTACCAGCTGGCCATGGGAGGGCTGAGGCCCCTCGGTGCCAGCTTCTGAAGTTTTCTGTAAGAAGCTGCAAATGGAGCTGCCATTCATATCGCCATGAAGCTTGAACTTGAGGGCGGAGATCAGGACACAAACTCAAAGGAACTGAGAATGCAAATAAAAGGCCCCTCCCAAAATTGGGAGGTGGTGGCGTCTGCCTTTAATGGGTGGCTCTCTGAGTTCGAGGCCAGCCTGGTCTATACGAGCTAGTTCCAGGGCAGGCACCAAAGCTACAGAGAAGCCCTGTTTTGAAAAACCAAAAAGAAAAAGGAAAAAAAAAAAAAAAAGACATCAACACACATATACCTGGCCAAAACTACAGGAAATAGAAATACCAGGCAAAACCACATGGCCTTTATTTGGCTAAATGACAAAAGCCAAAATAACTCTGAACAAATTAGACAGGAAAGCGATACATTGAACTCTGAGGCAAAAACTCCCCTTGACTCCCACAGTGATGGGCAGGTGTTCGCGGCACAGGTGAGTCTTTCCAACAGTGTCTCCTGTTCAGGAATCTAGATGCTAAACACCTACGCAGTCAGCTCTCACTGTTTAAAACAGTTCCCCCAAGACGGTGGGAGGTGCCCACTTCAACCTAGCAGAACCCGACCTGGGCCACCCGAATGTTAATCCTGCCATTCCTGTTCTCTACCCCAATCTCGTACCAACAAAACATTCTGGCAGACAGACTATTTTTCTTTTTCTTTCAGGAGAATTAACCTTTAATAATATTAAAGTCCAAGAACATGTTGTACTTATTTATTCTGAAAAATAGAAGCTAGGGACCATTCTTTATCCCATGATAATCTATTTTGTGAGAGAAAACAATCATTGTTATGACTTCGAAAAATACAACCTTTAAAAATACTTATATTGGTAAGCTTAAAAAAAATACCATTAGTTTTTAAAACATCGCTGGGGAAGCTTCCTTTGAACCCTGTGTGGGTTCAGTTTCGGCACATGTACGCTGACAGAAATGTAGAAGCTAAGGCTTTAGGGGATCAAACCAAGCAGGGAAACAGAACTGATCTGAGAAAGGACTGAAAGCTGATAAGGAACAGATCTCAAAGACGGCAGGCTCCGGGATGTGAACTACATGAGTGAGCACGCGCTGCGGACGCGACGAAGAACTGGCACGAGCCACTGTGGAGGGTTTTCCCAGATGACTGGCCAGATGTGCGGCCACTTGTGATAACAACTGCGGTACTACTGAGAAAGGGACCCGAAAAGAGCTCCCCATCTCTCTGCTCAGGATTTTCAGCCTTTGTACACTCCCAGTCCCCTCAAGTCTACAGAGGGTCTTTGGCTTAGCTCTCAGGAGCAGCTGCTGTGGGCACTAGCGATCTATTTCTGCTTTCTCTCTGTGGCAACTTCTATTCTCCAGTCTTCAGCCTGGTATATGAGAAGGGCAACATTCCTGTCCAGCCCACGTCCAGGCTAACTGCTATACTGGCCTCTTCCCAGCACCAGATAGACTCCGGTCAGCAGCCACTCCCTACGGCATAGAGGCTGCGAGGCCCAACACTTACGCTCTCCCACCCTTGCCGCTGCACCCTTCCATGCTGCCTGATTTGTATGTGGTCTCAGGGAAAGGTTCCTCAGCTGAGGTTGCACAGGAAGAGGTACAGATTGGTCAGAAAGGACATCCAAATGCTTGGCCACATTTAACTAGGTACAGGTGGCCGACAGTTCAGCATCCCAACAGCACCTTTTTCTAGCACCTAGGACACTGACCCTCAGGTACCTAGCATGCTGCCATACCCTCAGCATTTCTGCTTCATGTCTAAGTTATCTGAGGATATGAGTGTTAGAAGACAGGAAAGGGTGAGGGACATTCCGAGGACACGAGTGTAGGCTAGTCCTAGCTATGGTACACATCTTCTCAGCCCAGGCTCTGAGGTTTGAGACCCTCTCCATTTCCACAGGGCTAGCTTGGGGATATGCACTGAGAGAACAAGCAGGCAAGTAGGTACTGACGTCATCGCCTGTGTGTACCTGGGAGAATAAGGCAGAGAGGAACACGGATCACCGAAGAGAAGACCAGAGTAGGAAGGGTAAAGGGAGCTGGGCAGCGCTACATGACATGGAAAACACTAATTTCAACAGGTTCTAGAAAGGGTTCCAGGCCAAGGCCATAGGAATCAGATCTGAGTGGTAACAGCACTTCACGATAAGTTAGGAATGGTGTTCCCACAGGCTATTGAGACACCCAGATGTGGCTCTCCGGCCCTCTCCTCTGCTCTGCCTGCCTGAAAGACAGTTTAGGAGCCTAGGGAGTCCTGTCATGCAGACATTGCGTGGTGCTAGCCTCAGACTCTGAGGCTTAGCACAGCTTCCACCGGAGAGTATCTAGGGAGGGCTGTGAAGTGCTCACAGTCCCAGCAGAGGTACAAGGAAAAAGAAAATGTGGTTTTCTTTGCTGAAAACACTAAAGTTCCACCCCTACAAGGGGTATTTATGAGTAATGACAAGCAGGTCTTGGAATAAACAATTGTGCCCTAAATCCAGCTACAGGATAACTGACAGTGACGAACTTGCTGGGCCATGTAGTGCAGACTGAAAACATCAGCTCATACTCCATAGCAAGTGCTGAGAATCATCGTTCTTTGATTTGAAATTCAAGCTCTGTTTCCTCTGGAAACCAAACAGGTGCAGTGGAGGCATAAGTACCAGCACGGGGGGGGCTAGGGGCTTGGACCTCTGTGTATCAGTAGTTTAGAGGGGACAGTGGGGGAAGTCCCTGCCAAGTGCAGCTCTTAGGGGAGAGTCTCGATGGGACACTGACTCAACCCAAGAGCATTCTTCAGAGGAACAGAGCCTGATAAGTGTTTTAGAGATCAAAGTGCTTTTGCTGCATGACCTGTGAAAACTCAAAGTGTTAAATATGGCAATAAGTAACATGGATTAACGGGCCAAGTTCAAGGTGAAACATTTACAGAGCATCCTTTGTATAAAGCCAGGCATGGTGCTGAACTGGCAGCTGCAGGGCGAGGGATGTATTCCCAACAGAAACTCAACCACAACTGCCCTTCACTAGACTGCGTTCACCCCACTCTCCTCTGCAGTCCCAGCATCCCTCAGGGCTTCTTCCTTGACATGTAGGTTGCAGGAAAGAGATTGACAAGAGCTCCCAAATAGTTGGGCAACAGATTTTCTGAGATGAACGCAGCAGAAAAACTGCACCTGACGCTCTCTGGTTTGGTTGCATCCCCATCAGTGTCCGCATGGACCCCATGGGGTCCGACAAGAAACTCCTCAGGGAGCGAGAAAAGTGAGGCTCAGATCTCCTCCTTCCCACAGCCATGCTGACGCACGGGCCGGCAGGACACGCGGGGCATTGGGAGCTAATTCAGGTTTTAGATAAATAAGGGAAGTGGAAATTGCAATAGTATCACCAAATGACCCATCAGCATGGCTCTCTGTTGGAAGGATCTGGAAAGTCACTTTGCTCCAGAATGGAAGGCAAGCACTAGTGCATCAGGAAGAAAGGCCTCTGGGTATTACACACTTCCTTCTTCTGCCCACTCCTCAGGGGCAAAAAATTAGCTCTACTTACTATATTTGAAAGACTAATTTTTAAAAAATTAATAAAAATGTCAATTTCCCTGTCAAGATTACATGAGCATAAACAGCAAAGCGAAGTTCTGGGGAGGGAGGATGGATGCATGGCAGGCTTCTCGATGTGGCTGACCAGGGCTCGGGGCACGGGCTGTTTTGTCCCCCATTCCCAGGTCCTCCTGCCCATTTGTCTTTTCTATGTAGATGTCCTTAGGTTTAGTGTTGGGATCACAAAATGGAATTCGACAGAGAGCTTCTGGAGGTGATGGGCAGGGGAAGGGAGAGGGTACAGGATGAAAAGTTAGTCCTCTTCATCCTCGCTGATGTCACAGGTCACAGCCTTGCGCCTAGGGAGACTTGCTGGGGAGGAAGACGGGGAGGTCTTGCCAGAGAAGGGCCACCGGAAGGAGGGGGAGGGGGAGCGTTCGTGAGTAGGGCTGCTGCTGGGACTCTGCCTGGGACTGATGGCCTGCAGCATCCGACCTTTTCCCTCTTTCAGCATGTGTTTCTGGGGAGGGAGACCAAAGGCAGAGTTAGCAGACACCTATGGACCCCACGGGTCACCACCAGAGCCTCAGAAACCGCAAATAATTTTGAATCTCCCCTGTAATTACGTTTCCTTTTTATTGCTGAAGATCAAAGTTATGGTCTCAAGCACGTGAGGGAAACACCCTGCCCCTGCTAAAGCCAAGCACGACTGAAGAAGACAGGAGGGCACAACTGTGTCTGTCCTAAGCTCCCTCTCCACACTGGACCACTTTTCTGTGTCTTTACCTGCTTACCTCTTAGCCTTTCTTGACCTCCACCAGAGACATTCTTCAGGGGCTAGACTGCAGTCCACACGCCAGCCAAACACAAAGGCTCACTAATGGAGCTCTCTGTTTTGAGGGCACTGCTAGTCTCACTGGGGACCCACAGCAGCTCCTCACAGAGAGGAGGCTTCTTATCTGTGCTCTTTCTCCTTTCTCTTCCATGTTAGTGCAAAACACAGAAGGAGTGGCTAAGACTACCTAGTTATCTTGACTCCAGATGTCAAGGCTGACAGAGAGCTGACAAAATTAGTAGGAAAAAGTAAGACTGGATAAAATAACGTCTTAATTTTGATGTTCCTTTCTACTCAAAAAGTCTATATTCCTTTCCACAGCAGTGCAATTCTTGAATCCACTGTACATTGACTGGCTGTTGAAGTATTAGTATCACAAGTTCATGACCTGCCTTGGACCACATGGAGAGTTCAAGACCAGTCTGGGCACCTTAGGGAGATACTGCCTCAAAATAATAATTAAATAAGCCTGGTTGGTGGCACACAACTTTAATCCTAGCAGCTGGGAGACAGAGATAGGCAGATCACTCTGCGTCCTCGGCCAGCCTTGTCTACACTGCAAGTTTCAAGCTAACCAAGGCGACATAGTGAGCTCTTGTTTCAAAAATAAAGAATAGATAAATGAAAAGCCCCACCACCACCATATTCCCTCAAGTGTTGGGGAGGAGGGCTCTCACCAGTGCTCCTTCTGGACCGAACATTTCCAGAAAACTTCCAATGAACTCTCGGGACTTCTCCTCCCACTTCTGGATGAGGTCAATGCTCTTTTCTTCCACCTTCTGCACAAATTCTTTTGATTTTTCTTCCACATCTTTCACTTTCTTCTTTACTTTATCAACCCGTTCTTGCAAGTGGTATTTCTTCTCCTAGGACAAAGTAAATGCTTTTTAAGACATAGTGCCCAGGCTGGAAGAGATGGTTCAGGTTCTGTTCTTCCAGAGGACCTGGGTTTGATTCCCAGCACCCACTTAAGACGGCTCACACCTGCCTCTGTGTCCAGCGCCCGAGAGCTCTCTGGCCCTGCTGGCATCTGCATTCACACGCACCTACCCACAGACATACATAATAATAAAAATCATAAATTAAACTTTCAATTTTTAAAATTCTGCTTTGCCTAACCTGTTCTGTATTTATTTAGGATAATAATAGGAAAGATAATCTATGGACAGTCATCTTATATGAAAGTATGATAATTTTTTTTCTTTTTTGGTTGTTTTAGATAGGGTTTCCTCTGTGTAACCCTGGCTGTCCTGAAACTTGCTCTGTAGACCAGGCTGGCATCGAACTCGGAAATCCATCTGCCTCTGCCTCCCAAGTGCTGTGATTAAAGGTGCACACCACCACACCTGGCTGAAAGTGTGATAATTTTAACACTGTAAAAGCTCTGGACTAAACTTACTACAACAGTGAGGGCAGAAACAGATCAGCATGCAGCCAAACAAAGTCAAGGTTTTAAGATAAATCTAATATAATGAAATAAAAATAAATATACCCAACATGACTCTTTCAGATGGGAATGTATAGCCACAAGATCACTACACAACACTACCAAAAAACAAGCCAATTATGCCAGAGTCAACATGGAAACACTAGATCCTTAATTAATTCATTATACTAGATGCCCCATTTCTAGCTCATTCCATGATGTTAGATAAATTGTCTGTGTGTGTGTGTGTGTGTGTGTACATGTCTATGCATGTGTGTGTAGGTCAGAGGTCAACATCATGAATCTTTACCCACACTCCACCCATTTTCCTGAGACAGGCTCTCTGGCTGATCCTGGAGCACACTGATTCTATGAGGCTGGCCGGCTGCTGACTTTCAGTGCCCCTGCTGTCTTAGAGGATGTGCCATCCCTAGCTCTTTACATGAGTACTGGGGTCGCACTTAGGTCATAGTGCTTGCATATCAAGCACTCTACCAACCGAGCCATCTTCTTATTCTTAGCTCATGGTTTATTTCTTAGAAGTTGGAGATCTGTGCCCGGAGGTGGTGGTGCACACCTTTAATCCCAGAAGGCAGAGATAGGAGGATCTCTGTGAGTTTGAGGCTAGCCTAGTCTACCAAGTGAGTTTCAGGACAGGCTCCAAAGCAACAGAGAAACCCTGTCCTGAACAAACCAAGATAGATAGAAAGATAGATAGATAGATAGATAGATAGATAGATAGATAGATAGATAGA